TGGTTCCCACTGAATAAAAATAAACTCCAAAGGGCCGAAGCAGAGTGTCAATATTGTCTATATTATGGTGCGAGAGATTAATATATAAATTCAGGTTTCCCTTGGGTCAAGTGAACTGTCCATAATCTGGTGTTCATGTATCCTTAAGGAGAGTTTGACTGTAGTAGAATTCAAAAAGGGAAGATATCAAAGATAGATGTATCAAAGCAAGCATCTATAACTTAAGATTAGTTATTAAGTTTAAATCTACTTAGCATTCTATCGCAAATGACATTACATGTATCTTATTGGCTTTGCTACTCACTATCTTTAATGCTGTACATGTACAAGTGTATGTAGATAGTGAGTAGCATAGCAGTTTGCTTTTGTTAACAAAATTTGGGCCATTTCTTTACATTTTCGAAATGTCTGTGAAAATGATTTAGATAAAGTTTTGAATGACTAGCAGATAATAAAAAATAATTAGATTATTCACTCTTGATTTCTGTGCATGATAGATGACTCTGCTCGGGCTGAGCCACCTTCAACTATCACTCACAATAGAAATCTTGAGCTCATAATCTATTATTGTTAAGTGGAACACATTTTTACCATGAGACTAGCATTTGGCAAACAGATCAATGATTGCTTAATGCAAAAAGAAAATAGCCATCAGAGATTTTAATAACATGTCTTGAGACAAAAACAAAGTAGATCGTCCACTAACTTTTTCTTGTCTTTTTCACTCTTTTCTTTCTCAGACAAGCTTGTTTCCTTTTGTACTTCATGCTAAAGAGTTAAGAAAAATGTAAGAAAAAATATCATCACAACAGAGACTGCCTCAAACTGAGTATGACAGACCTCAACTTAGAGTACGTTGGACTCGTAACATCAACAGCTTTAGCACTATAACAAGGAGTTTTAAGAAGACTCTAGATGGTGAGGGGGTAGACAAAATAATTTAATCATCTTACTTCAATTCCTGCCATGAACTTATCCAACTCATCTTCCTCATCATCGTCATTTGCTGCTTGCTGATTTGCTGGCCTGCCTTCATCACTGTCATCATCATCATCAACAAATTTTGTCTCATCATCTTCATTATCGCTATCTACAAAGATTCTATAAATAGAATGGGTTCTTTTACTTCCATTCAACAGGAAAAAATGAGTAACCTCATCTATAAATAGTTGCATAATAGGAGCTCAAGTTTCCTCTCTTTTCTCTCAATGTTTTCTTAAGTAAGTATTTAAACACTTCTTGTGTTTATACACACTCGTGAACCTCTAGGAGAACTCAGAGAAGTAGAGTATTCTTGTTCTACTTCCTTTAGAAACACTGAGAGAAGAGGAAGGAAACTCACAACTTTGTTAAAGCTGCATGTACATGTATCAAAAGGTAAATACCCTTTGGCAATGCAAAGACCTTTTTAAAGAAACTGTTGGGCTGCATCGGTTGGCAAGTGAAACACTTGGCTGTTAATCAGCTAGCAGTTGAAAGAGGTAAATTAACCACCCTAGCAAGTTAGCGAGGGTAATGCTGGAAATTTCAATCATTAGCCCTTTGCTAGAGTTCGCAAACTCTGAAGAAGGGCAAATACTCAATAAGTCAGCTTCACTAAATCGCAAAGGTGCTCTATTTACTTTTACCTGTTGTAAAACTGTTTGAGCAAGTACCATCTAGCAACATGTTCCCAATAATTTTTCCTCTAAATTTTGTAACGTCTTGGTAAATCTGATTATGGCATCTTCTGTAGACTCTTACTGAAATAATTACCAGGTTGCTATGTTGCAATCCCCAAATAACTTTAAAAAAATTCTAAGGCAGCCAATCTAACCACTTTTAGTCACACAACATTGAAATTCAATTAGGGTTAGGGTTATGATCACAGAATACCCTGTCGTTTATGCCCACCTCATTTAACTTTCAAATCGTCTCTTCGTAGAAAAAGGCAGAACGCACAGCAGGTTTTACTGTGTTCTTTTCTTTCATGGGATTTAAATACGTGGCCCTGTGTTCTGTAGTTGTATTGTAACTGAAAAGCCCCATCAGGGAGTGTCAATATACTATTGTTGTTGCTGTTGTTGTAGTTTATAATTATTACAGAATACTTACGGTTTCCTGGCTCCTGGTAAGGGAAATGAAGAAACACCTTTCTTGGAAGGTTTAGTTATCTTAACATTCCCATGATCTGGATGACGAAATGACGAACTAAGAAAAGAATGAAGGAAAGAAAGCAAAAACTCGCGAACGAACGGACGCAAGGACGGAATGAAGGACATACATTTACGAAGGGACGGATGGGAGAATGAATGGATGGATGGATTTGCGGAAAAGTGGGGAAAAAAAGCGCGAGGAAAATTCTGGCAAGTGATATTGTCAGCTAGCTGGGTATACATGTGCAACACTAGCTAGTTGTTGAAGATAATTGCGTAGGGTTATTACATAAGACTACAAATGCACATGACAAAATGAGTCAGACTATTTCGATGGTCACAAACCACAAAGGCTTGGCCAGATTTACGAAAGGGAGCTGGTGAAGCTGTGAAATATTTACGCAAGGCGTGAGAAAGTTTTGAGGGCCACGATTTTAGCTAAGAATGTGGCCCCCAAAACGTTCTCACGCCTTGCGTCATTAAATATGTCACAGCTTCGCCTGTTCCCTTTCGTAAATCCGGCCAAACCTTTGTGGTTTGTGACCATCGAAATAAACGCTAGTATGGCTTTAATACAGGCGTTTAGTGTAAATTGAAGAAGTCTCCGATAGTTAGACGAAACAAAGTTTTACAACTGCAGTTAGCAAGTTCGCAGAGCGCTGCTCACTAGTTTACCTTAAAAAAAGATTATTTATGTACAAACCCTCGGGATTTGTTTCTGAGGGATGGAACTCCCATTAAATTGTGTCAACAAAATTATTAAAGCTTTCCTTTTGTTATTAGTGACCTCATTTTCTTTGAGATAATCCAATATCCTTCTGGAAAGGCCAGTTCTTTAGTACTGTTCTCATTTCAATTTCCTACGGTGTTTCAGTGACTTTGCTTTCTACACCTATAGTCCACTACTGATATTCTTCCTGAAAGACCGGAAGGCAGTTGTTTGATTTGTCCGCACGCTGACTATCAATATACCAAGCAACGAGATTAGAAAGTCAATGCGCCGGCGTCATCGGCCTCCTACTTAAAAACAGGCCATTGTTTCTAGGTGCAAGGAAATTTGCTGGTTCAAAGAATTGAGGAATTGACGGACTCACGAGCTGACGAACTCAGAAACTCAGAAACTCACGAGCTCACGAACTCACGAAGTCAGAAACTGACAAGCTGACCAACTCACGAACTCTCCAACTTAAGAACTTACAAAATAACGACGAACTAACGAACTAACAAGAGGATGAAGAAAAGAACGAACCAACGTAAGAACGAACGAACAAACAAACGAACGAACGAACGAACGAACGAACGGACGGACGGACGGGTTAGGGTTATTACATAAGACTATAGATGCAAATGAGAAAATGAGTAGGACGCAATTAATATTTTCGAAGGTCATTGATACAAACCCAGGTGCTATCTTTCTGTGGGATAGATTTCCCACTGAATTTTCTCAACAAAATTAATCTCTGCTTTAGTCATTAGAAAAGTTTCCTCAGTGACCTCATTTTCTTTTCTAATCATCCAATTTCCTTCCCAAAAGGCCAATACTTTAGTTACTTCCTTTTCAATTTCTTTACTGCGTTCCGACGCATTCGTTTTCTTTACGGCCGATCGTCTAATTCCTTCCTGAAAGACCGGATGGCAGTCGTTTTATTTTTCCGCTCGCTAACTATCAATGCAATACCAAGCTACGAGATTAGAAAGTCAATGCGTCGGCGTCATCGGCCTCCTACTTAGAAACAGGTCATCGTTTCTAAGTGCAGGGAAATTTGTTGGCTCAAAGAACTGACGAACTGACGAACTCAGGAGCTGACGAACTCAGAAACTCAGAAACTCAGAAACTCACGAACTCACGAACTCACGAACTATCCAACTTAAGAACTTACGAAATAACCAACTAACGACGAACTAACGAACTAACAAAAGATCGAATGAAGAAAAGAAAGAACCACATGGAACCAACCAACCAACCAACGGATGGACGGACGGACGCAGAACGGACTGAAGGACAAAAGGAAGGATGGACAGAGGAATGGATGGATTCGCGGAAAAGCGTGAATAAAAGTGCGAGGAAAATTCTCGCAAGTGAATTGTGATTAGCTGGGTAGACAACAAGTTCCTAGCTAGTTGTTGAAGACAATTGCCAAGGGTTATTGCATAAGACTGTAGATGCAAATGTCAAAATGAATAGGACGCAAACAATTTTCGAAGGTCATTTATACAAACCCAGGGGTTGTTTTTCTGTGGGATGGATTTCCCATTGTAGTGTCTCGATAAAATTAATCTTTCCTTTTTTCATTGTAAAAAGTTTCTTAGAGACCTCATTTTCTTTGTTAATCTTTCAGTTTCCTTCCCGAAAGGCCAGTGCTTTGTTTAGTTACTTCCTTTTTAATTTCTTTACTGCGTTTCAGTGCCTTCCTTTTCTACACCAACCGTCTAATTTCCTTCCTGAAAATAGAAGTTTACGGCAAATTAAGAAGCACCATCACAGATTGACCTTGGCGCTGAAAGGCTGGCACTGTGAAATTCTGGGAGCTTTTGCTTTTAAATGAAACCTTATGCGAAACTAACAGAAGAAGTAATTATAAAGAAAATCAAACGAACAAACAAGTGAACGAAAGATGGAAAGATGGATGGACCGAAGGAGGGACGGACGGACGGACGGATGGATACGCCGGAAAGCGCCGGAAAAATTATTGCCAACTGGTGAATTGTGATTCTGCTGGGTAGATAACGCCTTTCTAGATCTAAATATTGAAGAAAACTGGATATGCTACACGTGCACAAGGTAAATTAGCATTCACATGGTAACTTGCATACACATGGCAAATTAATGAGACGCAATTAATTTTCTAGTAATTTATGTACAAACCCTCGGGCTTTGTTTCTGAGGGATGGAACTCCCATTAAATTGTCTCGTAACAAATAAAGCTTTCCTTTTGTTATTGTAAAAGGTTCCTTAATGACCTCATTTTCTTTGCAATCATCCGATTTCGTTCCGGAAAGTCCAGTTCTTCAGTTTTCTTTTCAATTTCCTGCGGTGTTCCAATGATTTTTTCTTTCTCTGGCACCAATCGTCCAGTTTCCTTCCTGAAAGACCAGAAGGCAGTATTTTGATTTGCCCGCTCGCTGACTATCAACACCGATTAGAAAGTCAATGAGCCGGCGTCATCGCCCCTCTACTTAGAAACGGGCCAGCCATTGTTTCTTCGTCTGGGAATGCGCTTTTTCCCCTTTGTCGAAATTAAAAAACAGGAGCTTACGGAAAAGAAGAATCGTCATTAATTAGCCTCTGCGCCGACAGCTATGCAAATCAATAATTCTGAGAGATTTTTGATTTTAGACAACATCGTATCCCTTCGTCTCCAAGATTTATTTTCCCCAGGTCTAAACACGACAGTGTATATGACTAAACGAAATTACAAACAAACTGACCCGTTTTAATCGGCAATTGCTACAAATGATCGTTGACGATTAAGTCAATATAACCGCTGTTGCCTTAAAGAAGTGTAAACAACTGTACTAGGCAACGGATTCCAGCCTTCGTTTTAAACCGAATTACCCGACAACAAAGCTAATATCGTTTTTATGTGAAATTTTCTCGGTGACGTTAAATATCTCAGAGAGATATATATAACTGTGGGAACTGTGTGAAATTTTGAGAGATACCTCTTCATAGTTACAATGTCTTCACCTTTTGAACACCATAATAACTCGATAAAAAAAAAAAACCAAGATATATTTCTCGAGTTTGCCAATTTAACCCTACAACGTAGCTTTTGCCAAGAAAGAACGACTTCCTATTAACAGAACTTTCCACCAACTCGCATGAGTTAAACAGTCACCAGAATTAATTATTTGCTTCGTGACATTTTCGTTTCCATAAAAAAAACCCCGATTGTTTCACCTACGCTTGACTTACTAAGGCACAATATGTTAAATGAGCCTTAACAACCACAAAGTGCCTGTAGGCAAAGTGTGGGTGCTATGTAAGCTTATATAGTACGTGTTATTTCTATTCATTCCCTGTTGGTCAGCTACAGTTTCGGCGAGAACAACAGCTCATTAAGTGGCTGCAGTTTATAGCAGTTTGTTGAAAGCAAACTTTGTCGAGGGCGTCGACTATTCAAACGTAACATGGAAGGAAAAAAGGTAAGTCGATTTTGAACGAATTTTGTCGGTGTTTCTTTAGAATACAGGCCAGGTCGAATTTTCCATCACAAACACACCCAAAAGCTGTCTAGTTGAGTTAGGAACTGACTAGCTACAACACTTTTCTTCATGACGCAAGCCGAGTGTCTAACATCTACAGGCAATATACTCTGCAAGACACAAGTCGATAACGCATTAGTTTAACATTTCGTTTACTTCAATGTCTGCGTCAAGGTATCACAATTGGAAAGTTTATGCAATATCGTCGCCGATCATACAAAGGTTTATACACGATTTGTATCATCCCTCGAATACAATCTAGATCACTGGCTACTGCCAACAAAATCAACCTAAATCCCTTAGTGCTGTGTGGGACTAAAAAATTCAAGTAAATCTAACAAGCAAGAAAAAAATATGGAAATAAGTTGAAAGCCTGCTGAGTGAATCACTTGAGAACACAGCCCGTTCCATGTCACACCTTGAGGGAAGTTTCAAGATTTTAATATACATGTCATGTCTGTTCCCGTTTCATACAGATCCTTTTAATGCTGGTCCTGTTCCTGGGTGTCTCCTTGGCAGACGAAGTCCCTGGATTTTTCCGTGATAAATCTGTGCCAAATAAAATGGGCCTCGGCCTTTGGAAAAAGCACAAAGCTAGGGATCAACACGAAAGGTTTGTGAATATTGTTGCTTAGTGCTGACGACACGGAAAAAGCGCATTTAAAGATTGAACACAATTACGCAAATAACTCTTATCTCAAGTGCGGGTTATTTTGGTAGCAAAGAAGCTCAAACTTTGCATAGTCCGCCCTCGCTACAGGTTCACATGAGAACACAGTTAGTTTATTAAGCGATACATAGAATAACAACTGACACTGAAGCGACAACTGAGCCGGCTTGCGTGAGTCGAATGACTGATGAGACACGCTTGACTGGCGAGAGGGCGAATGATGAAAATATTTCAACAATGCGGAAAACCTTAGGTAGTGAACCTTATCAGAAGCTGTTTTGTTTTGTTATATTTCTTTTGGTGGGAAGGGAGGGAGGGGATTGGTTGAAGTGCNCAAGTATACTGCGGGTCATTTAATTTAGCTAATCAACTTGGGAGCTAAACGACTGGTAACCCGTTGACACGCAAGCATGACAAAATAACGCATTTCACACAAAAAAATTAATTTTGCAGAGAGGACACTCGAACCATGAAGGCAAAACAAACAGAAGCAAGCAATGATATTGAAGTCAGGTAATTTCAACTTGCAAGTATCTGCATCATTACAGAACGTACGTAATTTAGTGCGTACTGCCTGTGATATCCAGGGTTTTTAAATTGAAATAATTGAAGAAGCAGGGGCATTTCGTAAAGTAGGTGGAGTCATTATCCCGTCAAGATGGTGGCGGTGTAATTGTGAGGGGAAGTGCTAAAGAGGGTTACTTCCCCCGCATGGGGTTAAGGAGCAGGCTCTGAAAAAAAAAATAAAAATAAAAATCTTGTTTAAATAGTGTCCAATTGCTCAGCCAATCAGATTACATCATTTGCATTAGTATACCAGTAGAATTCTACTAATTAACAATTAGATTATGAGCTCGAGATTTCTATGAGATGATAGTTGATGAGGCAAATATGCTAGTTTTTAAGAACATCAAATTTCTAAGGGGCAACTATCAGACCGATAGTTCCTAGACATAAACTCTCTATTGTCTTTATTGTTCACCACTAAATTTTCTTCCGTGCGCCAGTTCAAAAATCATATTGAATTATTTTCAACTTTTTTAGATGAAAGCCGTGAAANTAAACCAATAAGAATCGGAGAAAATTTAGTGGTGAACTATAATGGCTGATAGTATACGAGTAGCTCAGCCAATCAAATTACAGCATTTGTATTAGTATACTAGTAGAATTCTACTAATAACAGATAGTGTTTGTACTCCTTTGCAGACACAAACTGCCCATCCAACATAAAGCTGGGCTCTTACCTGAAAATGACGTCACATATACACCATTTTGCCACTACAAAGTCATTCCAAAAGTGTTTCATCCATTTGTCGACCAGAGAGGAAATGAGTACTTTCCCGTAGGGAAATACTATGAAACAGTATGTGATCCACCGGATGACGACACCGTAATGATTGGCCAAGTTGCCCGTCAGAGATGTGAATTAGAATTGCACCACCATTATTGTTTCTCTAAAGAGGAGGAATTACCAGTTACCTATAAAGCTCGCACGAGGAGAGGTGATAAGTCGTACACCAAGAAAGAAAAATTGCGTATAGGATGCGAGTGTGGCTCATTAGATGTTCGAAAGCGTTGAAAATCAATCAGAGATGTTGCTGTTTCCAGTGTGCTATGGACAAGATTGATTAGTATAGTTTACTTAATACGCTAATTCTTATCATTAATTAGTAATATTTTACAGCGCACAGCAATGACTTCCTTTAGCTTAGTATGTAAACAGATTTCCTAGTGGCCTAAAGTACTGGGTGGAAAAACAAAATGGTTAGCAGAGCGAGCGAATTGCGGCCTGGGGGGTGGGATCTCACTGGGCAATTGCACCGCACTCGGCTCGCTTCACACAAGGGAACCTCGCGGCTGCATTCACTTTATTTCTCAACTTTACTTCAACGTATTTCCCCTCCCGAATATGATGGAAAGAAAGCAATGGATTTTTTTGAAGAATGTATAGTAAAACGTTATATATAGTCAATCATCTACACTCAGAAGTCAAAGCGGATTGCACCACTGGTTCCCCCCCACCCACTCCCCGCGATGTCATAGAAACAGTCAATAAAGCCCGCCGGTCTGTATAGGGTTGTAAATTACACTAACATAAAGATCCCACAGATGTTAGCCTCTTCCTAATTTATCGACGATAAGGGGAAAGCTAGGCAGGGGACTTGCCGTAAAATTGAGAGGGGAAGGGGTATCCCCGTAATGTTCTGACCTATTTCCCACCGAAGCGAACAATGTGATGGTTTTTTTTTTTTTTAACCCTTTGAATACCAAACTTTCGCCAAAAAATACCGTTTTTAACCGTTTAGTCAGGTTCTTTAGCTACCATGACGCTAAATAAGCCTACGTTTTGCTAAAAAAGCTTTTCTTTACTAAAAGGAGAGATTTTTCGAGGATTAGGTACAAAATTGAGCAAAACTTCAAT